ATTTTTCATGTTTTGTGACATAAATAAGTATGTAAAACACACTTATCATTTGTCAATTTGGAAAGCAAACCAGTTACTATTCTCAAAAAACCAGTCAAGAAGAGCCACAATCAAGCTTGAATTGGTCCAATAAGATGTTTGTGGTCCAATGAGAACAACCACAATGAATGGCAATAAGTATTCCATCATATTTATTGATTATCTAACTAGGATGTGCTGCGTGTATTTTCTAAAATTCAAGTCTGAAATTGCAGCAGTATTTCAGAGATTAAAGAATTTAGTGGAGAATGAAAGTGGCTGCAAAATCAAAGCTATTAGAATTGATAATGGGACAGAGTACAGCTATGATCAATTTGACAGGTTTTGTGACTCCATGGGGATCAAACATTAGTTGACAATACCTTATTCTCTACAGCAGGATGGAATCTGTGAAAGAAAAAATAGGATGGTGATGGAAATGGAAGTGGAAATGGCTAGGTGTCTGATGTTGAAGATTCCTAAAGAATTTTGGGCTGAAGCAATCAATACAGCAGTTTACCTTCTCAATCGATTGTCAACAAAACCATCGGAGAAAAAGACTCCATATGAAGTCTGGAATGGTGTCAAGCCTGACATCTCACATCTGAAGGTGTTTAGGAGTGTTTGTTATACTCATATCCTTGATGCAAAGAGGGACAAATTGAGTGAAAAAGCTGAAGTATGGATACTTGTTGGATATTGTACAAATGCCAAAGGATACAGGGTATATAACCCTCAGTCAAAGAAGGTGATCTCCAACAGAGACATTAAAGTGGATGAAAAAGCTTCATGGAATTGGGAGGCAAGTTCAGTTGATAAAGTCAAAACATGTGGTTTGATTCCTCAAAAAAGAGAATGAGGAATCAGTGAAGATGAAGAAGAACCTGATAATGGTTCAGATTCAGACAATGAAAGGGTGAAGATAAGGCCATTAACAGACATACATGTAAGGTGTAATGCTGCTATGGTTGAACCTGCAAATTTTGTTGAAGCGTCAAAGTTACCAGATTGGATGGCTGCAATGAAGGAGGAGATCAATATGATTGAGAAAAATGAGTCTTGGGAATTAGCAGACAGATCATTGAATAAGCAAGTAATAGGGGTTAAATGAGTATACAAAATGAAGTTAAACCCAGATGGATCGATCAATAAGTTGAAAGCAAGGTTAGTTGTCAAGGGTTATGCTCAGCAATACTGATGGTCATGGCAGCTCAAAGAGGTTGGAAAATCTTTCAATTAGATGTAAAATCAGCATTTTTAAGTGGGTATTTAAATGATGAAATCTTCATTGAACGGCCTAAAGGTTTCTTGGTGGATGGAATGGAAGATAAGGTGTATCTTCTCAAGAAGGCATTGTATAGACTAAGGCAAGCTCCAATGGCCTAGTACAGCAGAAATGATGAGCATCTAAGCTACCTTGGCTTCATTAAAAGCTTGAACAAATAGACTTTATATGTGAAAGGGGAGAAAGAGGATCTAGTCATCATTTTCTTATATGCTGATGACCTCCTGGTCACAGGAAACAGCTTTGCACTTATTGAAAAAATGATGGATGATTTGAAGAAGGCATTTGAAATGACAGATTTGGGAGAGATGCAATACTTCCTTGGTATGGAAATTCATCAATCTGATCAAGGAATTTTCGTATGCCAAAAGAAGTATACTGAGGAGATCTTGAAGAAGTTCAACATGGAGAATTACAAACCTGTGACCACCCCACTGATTCAAAATGCAAAATTGTTGAAGGAAGATGATGCCAAGAAGATAGATGTAAAGGTCTATAGAAGTCTGGTTGTTTGTCTGCTCTATCTTACTGCTACAAGACCAAATGTGACCTATGCTGCTAATATTCTATCGAGGTTTAGAGAAGAACCCAATGACTACATTTTCAAGCAACAAAAAGGGTCCTGAGATATGTCAAAGGAACTGAAGATTTGGGAATCTTTGTATAGGAGATAGGGAGAATGGAAATTGACAGGCTTCACTGACAATGATTGGGCTGGATCTCCAGAGGATATGAAGAGCACACTTGGATGTATTTTCTATATGGGATCAAGCATCATTTGTTGGAATTCAATGAAGTAAAAGACGGTAGCTTAATCAGTAGCAGAAGCTGAGTATATTGCAGCATCAGTGGCTACCAATCAAGCAATTTGGCTGAGGAAAGTGTTAGAGCATAAGCAAGAGGAAGCTATTGTCATTTATTGTGATAATCAATCTGCAGCAGCAATGGTCAAATATCCTACGTTTTATGGAAGGACCAAACATATTAAGATTAAATACTATTCAATTAGGGATGCACAAGAAGGGAAAGAAGTCGAATTGATAAACAGCATATTAGAGGAGCAACATGCTGATATATTAACAAAATCATTAGGTAGAGGAAGGTTCAAAACACTAAGAGATTGTCTTGGTGTTTCCAGCAAAAGTGTCAATGAGGAGTGTTGAGAGTCATGCGTCGCTTTTGCTGTCCAATAATATAGCTTTTGTACTCATCATTACCAGATTCAAGTACATGGTTTGGTAGTGTATATTTTTGAATTATATGTTAAGTATGGTCCAATATGAAAAGCTGTCACATGTAAGGGCTTGTAGTAGGTGAAGTATGGGAGTCCATTTTGTACTAGAAACTTCATGTAATGGTTATATAATTTCAAAGGAATGCAGGAAGAAAAAGTGTTAGTATTGTTCGAAATTATTGTCCACAACTTTCATTCTCTTTGCTTTACATATTCCTTCACAATGCCAGCAGTGGAGTGTTGGCAATATATGAAACTGGGAATGATGAGATTAAACTCAGAGTCAAGAAAGTATAACTTCATTTGTGATCAAGATAGTCACTGTCTAGGGGGCATGAGGTTTTGGATCAATGTTATTGAGGTAGTGGCTTTGGCCATAATACCACCACAACAGGAGGGGCACCGCGGCTAACTGCCGCCACCAAGTCTGGAGAAAAGTTCTGCCTTGAAGAGAAGGGACGAACATATTTATTTTATTATTGGGATTGGAGTATTGCACACTATTCTTTTATGATGGATTGTTTAGTAAACGATTTTTTTATTTTAAATATATTATGCTCCCGCACCTCATTTGGTGGGATTAGAATTAAATTTTTAATAGATTTTAATAAAAGTTGATAAAAAGTGTGATTCAACAGTTGTGGATCTCGTAAAATATGCATTTAAAATTAATTGTTAAGTTTGACTAATATTAAATTTACATTTTAATTCATACCAAGCAGGAATATTACGATTTGTGCAAGCTTACACTCTCTTCCGTCCCATCATTCCACGGTACCGTCATCACCATGACCCACAACTCATATGCTGATTTTTTATATCAAGGCAGTTTGGACCTCCACTACCACTACTCAAAAAACTTTGATTTCTCAAAAGGTGAATGCAAAGTCAATCGCTACTTGTCATTGTTTGTGTTACATCCAACGTTATTCTGGCTATGGATAGACCGCGAAGCCTGCAGGCCGCTCCGCTCTTGATTGACTTTGAAATGGTAGACGTGTGTGTGTGTGTTAGATTTGCATTAGAAGATGAATGTTTCCTCTTTCTCATTATTTGGATTTGAATATATCTTAACACTGATTAAAGAGTTGAATTGCCTAAACCCTCCTGATCATATATATTTTTTCGTGGTAAAATTCACACACCGATACTATAATTACTGGTCCGACTGCTGGAGTTAGTGAGAGTGCATTTGTCGGCTATGCAGGACGGAGTGATGTTGACAGTGGTCGTGATCTGTGACGTTTCCATTCTCGGATGCCATAGCTATCTCAGGCCACTCCCTTGATGGATTTCGTGTTAGCTCAAGCAAGGACTCTCTAACATAGTCAGCTTCAACAATTTCACTATCCCTTTTCTGTGTCCACCATATAGAAGAAAATCAAATATTGGAATTAATAGATTAATTTGGAGCTTAATTATTCTAATATCCTTATCTGGTCGACCATATATCGACTAATTTCCTATGCTATATAAAGAACCTGATGGGATCATTTTTTCTTGGTGTGTGAGACTTCCATATAAACTTCTCCTTCTCGATCTTACTGAATTTTTTTAGCAACAAGTGAGCTTAGATATCACAATGAGATGAACCCTATAAATCGACGTGTTTCAGAAATGGTAATTTTATTTTGATTTCATTCATTAGTGCTTGTGAAATTGAAACTATGGTCTAATCTATAACCTGTGTGTGTGTGTTGGTGTTGCTTGGAGGTTGTAATGTTAAGATGTTTTTTTATGCACATTCAGATTGAGATTTTTGTTGAAAAATGATGTGAAGTTACCTCTACTTTAAAAATATTTGAAACGAGACATGTATGTCGAGTTGCATTCACGTTCGTCATTTCAAATCCTAGAGAAATCAAAGCCTCCATCAGCCTGGCGAACCCGCCTTGCTTGTGCTCACAGAATACCTTGACAAAGAACTCATTTCCATCTAGTCGAAAGACTTCCACTCGAGGCTAAAATCATGAGGAATCCGTTCTGTTAACAAATGCACGTGTGCACAAACATGCACACAAAAAGGAAAAACTCGAGATGTTTAGTAGTCATACCTCCATTTGCTGCACTTTTCCTTTACTATTTTCAGACTCGTGATTTTGTTCCGAGACACTGATTCCAGTACAGCAAGACGATCCCTTGTAAAAACCATTCGGAAAAATTTTATGTTCGCAATTAGGACCTCGTTTCTTTCCACTCTGTTGTATGTTACCTTGTTGGCCATTTTTAATATTACTGTTTGTATCCTCGTCGTCTGAGTGTTGTTCAAGCTCGATTTGCAGATCTTTTACTTCATTCTGCAAGTCTTTCACATATTCAATTGCATCTCCAAGTATTGAAGCTCTATCCAACTACAACACAATACAAATCATTTATAAAAATAGCATCCTATAATTTACTTAAATAAACATCAAACAGAATTTCATTTCTGATGAACTAATTAGCTGGTAATAAAATTTAGACAAGATTATACATACTTTTATTGTACTAGGATGACGAATAATCCCTCAGAATTATTTGTTCCCTAAGGATTTGGTTAGGGTAACCATACTTTGCACACATATATCAACTTATTGTTAGATAGTGCAGAGTCTAATTATATCGATCACTTCTCAAATGAAGGAGCCTATTTTTATTTATGCACCTGTACTTCTCAATCATAGTAGAAACCTGTAGCGACAAGTACACATAACTCGTACTGAGAGTCTTTCATATTGTTGCTTTCGATATTAGGGATTAGGACTTAATCCATGATATTTTCATTAATATCATTAGTCTATTAACCTTGAATAATCTTAGGAAACTTAGCCAAGGACTGAAATTAGATGGTTACCTTAGAAATATTAGGCACCAATGCTCGAAGGGCATAAAGCCTATCATTAAGTTTCTTTCTTCTCCTCCTCTCAGCCTTGAGATTCTTTGACTGAGGCCCCTTTCCTGTTCTTCTTCTATACTTGGCATCATCGTCGTCGTCATTTGGATCAGAATTCTCTGATCGGTTATTGACCTGAATCAAAAGGTCGTCATTTACTTGTTCTTCTATAGTACCTGTGGGCTCGATCTCATGGATTAATTCTTTCTCAACTGAAGTGACAAAGCCGTTCGACTCATATGTTCCTTCGAAGAAAACATTCATGTCTCTAGTTTCTGCGGTGTTATTAATATGTTGCCAAGAATTACTCATAACTTGTTGCTCCAAAAATGTACTGCACTGAGTTCTGATAAAATCTATGATTTGTTGATCTTCAGGCACCTGAACATTTTATAACATCAAAAAAAAAAAATATCATCTTTTTAGTAATGATACACTCATATTATCATGAACAGATGACTCCCATCCTTGTAATGATCCTAAGGAAGAAAAATAAGATAAAATCCATTTTTCTTGTAGTGTCCAGTCCAGTTCTATGTCGTGTACCAAACATGCACTAGAAAATGGTTAATATTGGGATGTGAAGTTAAACTTAATGAATGGAATCATGGATGAAAGAAGGATTAAGTACTTGTTTTGCAACGAACAACTCGATTAAGCCAAGAGACGTTGGAATCAGAACTCTAGTCCCCAGAGTTTCCTGTAAAATTGATTGTAGAACACTTAAATTAGTTCATATACGAGCGCACTGATTTATAAATCAACGTTAAATCCCAGAGAAATTATAATGGAGTAACAAGACTTTCTTCTGAAGCATCTGAATCTGAGTTATGCAAGAAGTTGAACCAACCAGCTTGATTTGACAATAATGTCTGTGCATAAATTCTGCAAATATAAAATCATGGTTAAATGAACTCTTGATCATATGGTCTACAACTTTAAGCTGTTAAAGATGGGATGCATTTATTTATTTATTAAATTTAGTGTTATGACCTCTGTCTGCTCTCTTATCGTGTTGAATCACTTGGTCTAAAAGGTTAAGCTTTTAAACGGGTTGGTTCAATATGGTCCAATGGACAGGGTATACAGATCAGGGTTGAGATCTCACCCTGACTCTGACTCGAGTGTTATGGAAGAAGGAAGTTGTTCCAATAAATCACAAGATTGGATCCTTGGATGCTGAAAACTGAAATCTCTGCATGGAAGAGCAGAAGCAGCAGAGAAAAAAAATTCCTCTCCACCATTTTGGAAATGTTGAGTTCCAGCACAGCAGCAATCCATCCACTCAAGACACCTATAAAACAGCCAAAGTCTGAAATCAAAATGTCTTAATCTTTCTTTTTTCTGAGGACTTGATTGTTCCAATCTATTAATTTTTATGAATTACCTATGATCATCACTTAATTTCCAGACAACAATGTAATCCCAGCTTTTAAGCCCCACCAGTGGTCTTAGCCCGTCAATAAAATTTTCAACCAGCATGTTTCCTGCCATAAGAAATCTGTCTATTAATTAGTGTTTGTATGGGCATGTGGGTTGATCTTAAAACGATACTATTTCTTCTTGTTGCGACCCCTCCCGACTAACCACTGGCACCACCGGTAAATGTCATGCAGGACAGTGGAGAAAAAGTCTACACAGAGCTTGACATTTGTTTCTAGTACACTCACCAGAATTGGATACTATTCAATAAACCTTCCGTCATGCGACTTGTTGCAAATGTTACGTTACACTTACAAGTCTTTCTTTCCATTTAGCATCGAAACTAAAAAGTTTCATGGTGCGCAGGAAGGACAACAAAAAACTAAGCCTTGTTCTAGCAAACATGGGCTCGGCAATATATTTCCTTTGCTAGATCTAATGAAAGATTACAACGACTAGATCTTTAGCAGAGAATCAAACGATAAAATTAAAGCATAAATAAGGGGAAAACCTGTAAAAAAAAAATCTTTCTTTTTCTTGTTTTGATATGGTCCTGATGCTACCTTTCTTTACAAAAAAGAAGGGAAGATAGAAAGAAACTGAAGTGAAATAGAAAAAGAAAAGATTCATACAAACTTCAGTTGATAGTAATGTTTAACTGATACATAATAACAGATACTCTTATCATTCCAGGAATCTCTTATAAGAAAAATTTGACAAAAATAATATGTTACTTATTTGGAGCTTTCGATTAAAGAAGAAATCAAGAAAGCAACAAGATTTGTCTCCTTAAATTTGACATTATCTACCTTATATATGTCGAAACTGGCTAATATAACATTGGTAGGTGAACAACAGAGTATGCATGGAGAGAGAGAGAGAGAGAACTTAGATTAGACTAGACGGCATTCTAATTTCCTTATCTCGTTTAATACTTTCTCCACAATACCTTTAATCACGCCGCGAGAAATTATTTATTGTACTGCGATAGAAAACTTTAGAGAAAGATGTGTGACCATATTTAAAAATCAGCTTTATTGTTAATACAATTTAAAAACAAACAAGTATGTGTACCATTTCAAGTAATATCAATTTGTATAATTAGCCGATGACATATAACAATTTTCTCCGGTATTTAAGTAGGTACAATTTGCATGAGCATGATATTGTACGAACCATAACTACCCTCTAAAGTTGATTACTCATATTAGTTTTATTTTTTCTTGTGCCACAACTCTTGTATGTCCCATAGAGTCAAGCATGTCGGCTAAGCTTAAAACGTTTCACGGGTTACTTATAAGTAAATAAGTAAGTTTAAAATAATTTTTTATTAGTGAAGATTGGAATTAACATAAGAGTTACTTAGAAGAAATTTGTATACTTTCAGTAACTTTACATTAAGCCTGGGTAAATGTGAATGGGATAAGCATTGCACACCTCGTATCCCTTAATTTAATTTATATTTTTTGGGTTAATTCTAACCACCTCTATCTCGACTCAAATCCTCCAAATCACAATTAATTAAGCTAAATGAACATAATGCTTAACATAGGGGTTGACCGACCTCTCACATTGCATGTGGGTCCCAACATAAATTAAATTGGTAGGTGCTGCCATTCCTTATTCAATTTTCATAAACATGAACAGAACTCAATGACTCATTGAATGTGAGTGACTCTATGATTTGACATATTTAAACTTCGATTTTCGTTCTTCTTGACATTAGCCCATAAACCTTTACTGGCCACTTTAAAATCTTTAGTAATAATAAAAGACTCCTTAGTGCGATCTTCCATATGAACCTTTACAAATTACCAACCACAATTAAAAAAAAAAAAGAAAAAAAATTCTTTACATTCATCATACCAGTGCATGTAGGACATTCATCAAACTTCGCCTAAATATTGAGATGTATATAACACATATCAATTGTATTCAAACATCTTCACTTTTACAGTATTCAAACATCTAATTTTCAAGTTTTTTTTATCATTAGCATCATAGCATGATGCACATCACATGACTTATTATTAGCCACCATAGCATGTTAGGATTTTGGGGCTCCAATCAACCCAAAATCGAGCTCAGATAAACCACCAATCGACCACCACAATAACAACCAACAAACCTCCAAAACCGACACCACCCAACACCGGTTGCTTCAACAAGAATCAGTCCACAAAGGCCTCGGTGTGAAGAGTTAGGCAGCCTCACGAAACTACCACTAAGGCTAAAGAGAAAGGAGAAGACAAGGTAAGCACAAAGTAAGACCCAAGAGCACAAAGCCAAGCTCCTCTCACTCAAACTCACGGCTCCTACATCTCTTCCACACACTCACACACTAGAAACCGCGATGAATAAATACCAACAATAATAGGCTTTTAGGTTATCTTAATAAGAGGCCCAATATATAACAAGTGGGCTTTCAACCTTAAAGCCGTCCAAGGTAATGGATCGGGCCATGAGCAACACTAATGAAATTAGGCTACTTCAAATGGCCCACTTAGGTTGTCGGGATGGTTCGTTCATTGTGGTATCGACATTTCACTTCAATCATCAGTCGAGGCCTATGAAATCTAATCCAACAAAACGGTTTAATATCATAGCCTGAATTTATTGGGTATCAAAAAACCCAACAAATCTCCACTTTGATCCCAATAAATCTGCAAGCAAACAAAACACACAGTTTATACTTGCACAATCAAGGTAATCAATATAATTGGCATCACAGACCGTACCTCATGTTTCGCACCTGAAACATCTACCATACCTGCTTCATATACTCACCAGGGTTAAGATCAATAACACCCAAGTAGAAGCAAATAATCACAGCAATCAATCAAAAGCAAATAAACATACGATGGAGATATCATATAGAATAATACAGATCTTATCAAACACGTTCACACAGAACAACAGATTAACACCAAGTCAATCAACAGGTCAACATATACGTAACAAATGCATAAATGACCTCACAAAGATCTCACCACACTTATCCTATCCCATTCCGTGTTGCTCACTCCTCGAAAACACATATCTCACCTCATCGCCTACCATGTTCACTAGACAATCACTCAAAATTCATGTCTAAGTGGTAAATCTCTGTAGATCCTAAGTTCTTGGGATAATCCTCTATCAACATCATCTCTCCAACCTAAATGGACAATAGGTATCCACCTAATTGAAGTGATAGAAGTGTCTCACTCGCACTCCACCTGATTAGGGTCTCTTACAGATAAAGGATTCCAACATTTGATCACATCTCCACCGTGATCCAAATACCACACTCCACATCCCACAGTACAACTAATGTACCCCTAGGCATCTATACTCCACATTACCAAAAGACATACAACACACCACAAATGCACCACAATCCCACTATGGCAAATCAACACCTTTCGGCGACCACAAAGGTTAGGGCTCAATCTAAAATTGACTCACAAACCAACAAAGTTACTCCAAACACCAACGCTCAAAAAATCGACAATGGATTAATCCCACAAAGGGATGAGTAACGATGGCACTCACAAAGAGGATAGAAGAAAGAGTTGGTTACTTCACTACACTCACAGAAGAAGCTCACACAGAGAACGAAGATAACCCTCATAGGATGCCCCACATAATCTGACAAAGATGAAGGAGGAAATGGCTGCCCTTTACTTCCAGATAATCTATTCGTCAATTGTCTTGTACTGCCATTACCAAACGGGACCCGCCGCCTTACCACCAATGTCAGGAAAACTTTCGACGCAATCTTACTTCTCACTCACAAAGCAAACGGAGTACACCATAGTTCTCAACCTACTATGCATGCAAACAATTACACCAAATAATAAGATCACTCCAATTCATGTCAATGTACATATCAAACATATTGAAATGCAACATATAGCCATGCAGCGGAAACGAGCAATCACACACATACAGAAATGATTACACACAGATGTACATAGCAGTAACCAGGTTTACACTCAATAAACCTCACACGGGTCATCACTCGACCCAAATACAGAATTCGCATCACCACTCTCATCAACTTTCCTTTTTTATCATCTCTAGGACAGTCTATTTCAACAATGTCTCAAAAACTGCAGTTAAAACACATCTTACTTTTCACACTTGCCTTAGACCACATTTACCAAATTAAAATATCATATTTTTCATTAAAACATGCACAACTCATAATATATCGTCATTTTACCCAACAAATGTACAAAACACAAAATACAACCAATAACGACCACAAGTAAAGCACCGACACAATTCATATAGAATAGTCAAGTAAACTTTCCTAAAGTCACGTGCAATTCTAAATAATGAAAAATAAATCGACAACAAATTCACGAATAATTTAAGGCAAATAATTAACAAGTAATTACTAGGTCAGCAACAGGCAATGATTACCCCTTCACGGTAACCCCAAACCTAATGGCACCCCACACAATGACTTCTAATGTGAAAAATAATTTTAACTGCTATAATAAAAGGCAAAGAACACGATACCGAGTGGACCACGTCTGAGGTCTGTAAATATTGAGAGCTGCGAGAATTCACCATTTTAGAACCATCACTCTTCGTCCTAAAATCACCGGCAACCATGACAACACAAAACGATACCCGACACCCTAAAGTGGAAGGGTCAAAATCATCCAACTTTCACCGTAGTACCCCAAAATCGAGCTCAGATAAACCACCAATCGACCACCACTATAACAACCAACAAACCTCCAAAACCGACACCACCCAACACCGGTTGCTTCAACAAGAATCAGCCCACAAAGGACTCGATGTGAAGAGTTAGGTAGCCTCAAGAAACTACCACTAAGGCTAAAGAGGAAGGAGAAGACAAGGTAAGCACAAAGCAAGACCCAAGAGCACAAAGCCAAGCTCCTCTCACTCAAACTCACGGCTCCTACATCTCTTCCACACACTCACACACTAGAAATCGGGATGCATAAATACCAACAATAATAGGCTTTTAGGTTATCTTAATAAGAGGCCCAATATATAACAAGTGGGCTTTCAACCTTAAAGCCGTCCAAGGTAATGGATCG